TCCATGTCATGCCTAGCTAAGACCTGTCCAGGAAATGATCATGCTCGTCATCAATGTCATCAACCCATTGCTGTGTCAGCCCCTGGAATAGGTTCTGTGAGCACCTTTGCAGGTCAATATACCCCACAATTCGTTCAAACCGTCTTGAACACTGTTCCTAAGTATGTGCAGGAAGCAGCGATCAACTTAGTCACCTGTGAACCAGAACCGATGTCCGAAGAAGTGCTTATGGCCAAGTCTGACCTAGATCATCCGCAGGCCACAGATGAACAGCTCTTGCAAGTGCTGGATCGGTTGCATCGAAACTTAGGACACCCGCCAGGTCATGATCTGGTCCGTGTTCTCAAACATGCGCATGCTAGTGATCGAACAATTTCTTTGGCCCGCAAATATGAATGTGACCTATGTAAGACACATATCCGACCTCATGTTCCTCTGCCAGCCAAGAGCAGTCGTGTGTGTGAATTCAATCACACAATTGGCCTGGATGTTAAATTCTTGCCAGGATGGAAAAGCAACCAGAAGATCAAGGCGTTAAACATAGTATGCCATGGAAGCTGCTATCAACTGATGCTGCCGTTTCATGAAACTGAAACATCAGCCCTGATCCGTAAGCTGTTTGCCGAAAACTGGATTCGAATCTTTGGACCGCCTCAGGTGATTCTAGTCGATCAAGCACGCACCAATATGGGTGAAGCCCTCCAAGGTTATCTAGACTTGCAAGGTACTGAGGTGAAGCAAATTCCTGGTGAAGCACATTGGCAGTTGGGTAGGACCGAAAACCATGGGGGATGGTTTGCTCGAATCCTTACTAAGGTAATCAGTGAGCATTGTCCTGAAGATAAGAAGCAATGGGAGGAATGTGTCATTCACTCACATGTGAAGAACAGCATGATCCAATATTATGGACACACACCACACCAACATGTCTTCGGTAGAAATCCTCGAGTGCCGTCTGATCTCCTGGATGAGCCACTGAGTGTCGTGCCTGCTACCGCTGGCTTGTCGGACGAACAAGCAGCCAAAGCGCAAGCAATTCGGACCACGGCCCGTCAAGCCGTGATTGAAATGCAAGACAGCCAGTCTTTACGTCGTGCACTAGCTGCCCGTCCCAGAACTGACCTCAAGTTCGCTCCAGGCTGTCTGGTGGCCTACTGGCGAAATCAGAAGTTTCAAGCTGGTGAAGGTGTAGTCACTGGAGGTCGCTGGTTTGGAGTAGCAGTGGTTATTGGGGCTATCGGTCGAAATTATGTTGTGGCTCACCGACGACAAATTTTTCGTGTTGCACCCGAACAACTGAGACTCGCCACTTCCGAAGAAACTGCCACTCCCAATCAGCCGGTGGGAGGTCATCAACTCGAAGATGCTGCAATAGGACATGAATTGTCTCCAGCCGACATTCCCCAGATTGCACCCGAACCACAGCCAGTGCCAGAGCCAGAGGCAAAGCCTTCAGCTATCGATGAGCCTTCACAGGATGTGTCCATGCCAGAACAGCACCAGTCTCCAGAGACCTCGAATGAGCCAAATGATAGGCCTGACAAATCATGGGTAACTCCAGATAATGCCTATGGACCTGTGAGAGCTCGTCACCGACTGTCCACCAAGAGTGAACCGTCCACTCTGTACCGTCCTCATCCGATGAGGCAGGAGGTTTGTGGAGATCATGCGTGAGATTGTACCTCAACTCATAGAACAGAACATACCATCCACCACATCTTCTCAAACAGAGCAAGCTCCTTCTGGAACAAGTAGTGCCAGTGGCATCAAGCGCTCAATTGAGCCAACCACTGAAGAAGTTCAAGAGCCACCAACAGCTAGACCCCGAGTGGAAGAGCACTTTCTTGTGGAGTCTCATGCGTGTGACGAAGCCTTGTCTGTACAGGATTGTCAACAGCTGGGTGCCCTGTGGGATAGGACTCAAAACGTTGAAGTGCTTGTTGCTGCATACCTTCAAAAAAGAGCATCTAAGGAAATCCCTGCCAGTGACTCCAAGAGTTGGTTGACGCCTCCAAACTTGTAGAGTGGACCACCTTGACTGAAAAGAACGCTATCAAAGTGCATACCGGAAAACATGCGGCGTGGTTGAAAAAGCAATACCCCGACAGGTTCATGGGTAGTCGCTTTGTGATTGTTCGCAAACCCCTGGAAGAAAACTTGCACTTAGATGTTCATGACCCAGATACGTTTCGAGTAAAAAGCCGGTGGTGCCTACAAGGTCATTTGGACCCCGATCTCGACCAAAAACTGGGGGAAGGATTGCTTCAGAGTCCAACGTTAAGTCAAATAGGCAGGATGATCCTCATGCAATTGGTCACCTCCCATCAGTGGGATCTGCAGTTGGGGGATATAAAGGGAGCGTTCCTAGAGGCAGGCCCACTGCCAGAACGCTTTCGTCCTCTCTTTGCACATCTCCCAGCCGGGGGAATACCATCAGTTCCCGAAGACGCAGTCCTGGAAGTGGTTGGAAACGTGTACGGACAGAATGACGCTCCAGCTGCATGGCACAAAGCATTCGACGCAGCCGCATGTGAGTTCGGTTGTGAACGATCGTTGTTTGATGCCTGCCTGTATTTTCTTAGGGATGATGAAGGTCGTCTTTGTGGTGTCATGGGAGTTCACGTGGGCGATACAGCCCTAGGCGGCCAAGGATCTAGGTTTGAAACCACAGTCAAAGACCTTCGAACACGGTTTCCCTATCGAAAGTGGCGAATCCAATCGGGAGAGTTTTATGGAGCCTTTTACACTCAAGACCCCAAAACCAAGGAAATCTCTATGTCCCAACAGACTTTTGCCGAGAGCATTCGCCCAGCACACATTGCTAAGGGAGCCGATAATGAACAACCACTCCTGGATTCTCAGATCCGTGTCCTAAGGGCCATAAATGGGAGCCTCAATTGGATCTCCAGCCAGTCTCGACCAGATGTCGCTGTACAGACCAGCTTGAGTCAGCAGGTGTTTCCAAACCCTAAGATCAAACATCTCAGGGATGTGAATAACGCGGTTCGTCGCACTAAACAACACAAGGATGTCAGAATACAGTTCAGAGCCATTCAACCAGATCGACTTCGTTTGTGTTGTCACTCGGACGCCGCTTTTGCAAATGTTGGAACTCACACTCAAGCTGGCTACATCGTAGCCTTTGTTGACTAAAGCTTAGATGTGGGAGAGATTAGTCCCTGGACACCCTTGACTTGGAAAAGCTACAAGCTGCCTCGCGCGGTATCATCAACCCTGGCCGGAGAAAGTCAGGCCTTGGCAACCGCTTCCGGCACTGTTGAATGGGCTAGTCTGATTTTGAGCGAAGCATTAGATGGCAAGTTTGAGCCACGACTTAGTCGCCAAAGACTATGCGCAAGACCGCCAATACTCACCACTGATTGTAAGTCATTGTATGATCACTTGACATCTCCCTCGTCCCCCACAGCAGTGGATGACCGACGAACAAGTATCGACATTGTGATCATTAGAGAATCCATCAAGGCAACCAAAGCATCAATTCGTTGGCTTCCTACCAATCGAACGTTGGCAGATGCCCTCACAAAAGACAAGATGGACCCAGTTGATCTTCTTAGATCTTGTTTACGCAGTGCCACATATCAAATATCACCCGAAGAGCATGTCCTGGCTCAGCAAGCTGCCGAAAGAGAGCTTCGGATGCAGAGACGCAGCCTTTCCACCAAGGTGAAAACGCATCCTCAGGAGCCTTTGGACACCAATGATAATTAAAGTAGCTGCAATCTCTCAAGGGAGTAACAGTCTTGTTGTAATGTTCAACTGGCAATCAGTGAGGAATACATTCAATAGTTTCTGTTCGTGAGAGGGTGTTGCAAGAACTTTTGTGCATGATGTAGAATGTTAATGCTTGAGCCGCCTGCAGCCCCTTTTGTTTTCGAGGATCGTCACATGGGAACTCTGTGCGTGTTCAAATGACTTGGACACCTCAGGACGCCGAGCAACTCCGAGCCTTGTACCAGAAGGCCTTGCGCCATGGTCTTGAGCCTGTTGAGGCTCTTGGTGGATTCCCACACGTGGATGACTTTGAAGTGGTCGGGGCCATGTCCGACGCTACGAAGCGTCAGATGGATGCACAGTTCCCGATCAGCAGCAAGGCCAATCGAAAGCAAGCTTCCTTATCTGAAGGAGTGGATTCCAAGATTCCTGAAGGAGGATATGCTGTGAAGCCGCTTGCGCCTCCCTTTCCTACCATGGATCCCGCCTTGACAGCGATAGGTTCACCTGAGCTTCCTCCTGGTGTGATCAACACCGCGCAATGGGGAAAGACTCGAGTCAATTTCGGCAAGTTCAAGTCCCGCAACTGGTCTTACATGGACCTGCTGCAATCCGATGAAGAAGAGGCCAAGAGCTATGTAAAGTGGCGCCGAGCTCGCACCAATTCAGCGAGCGGTGAGCTTAAGGATTTGTGCCTTTTTCTCTTTCGCTTTGAGTTGGAAGCATCCCATGGCAAGCTGCGCACTGGAGAGTTGATTCCTGGCTCCGGTTCTCGCAGAGTCTTCAAGTGAAGCTTGAGATCCTCGCATACGCATGCGATTCGACAATGCTGAAAGTAAGCCCAACACTTCAGAGATCTTTGAAAGTAGAAAGTATAAGGAGTGTTGAAGGCTAGCATGAATGCCTCCACTCGCATGCCGTTCGTACCGCAGGGACCGCATTTGGCTGAGGAAAATGCCACGCGTGCCCGTGGGTGTCGATAGGACTCGACTCGGGTTGTTTTGTATATATGAAGCCTTGTCTTTCTTGATAACAGTATAGGAAAGTAGAGTAGAGGCTTCCAGAGAGAGTGGACAGACAAGTAGGGCTTCGACGTGCAGGTGTGGAAGAGTAGAGGGCTGCATCAATCATTTCAGAAAAGTAGAGATTTCTGGCAAGTGTTCTGAAGTAGAGATGCCTGGAAGAAAAAATACAGATACATTCCAAGGACATAAATTCTTCATAGAATGTGTATGGCTTCGTTGCTTCAGAAGACGGAACCTTTGCAGGTCAAAGACAGTGGAGGAGTCGTGCCTCCAGCTACGCAATGAAAAGCTCAAATTGGAGGCCTGTGTGGGGCCTTGCACCATGTGGTGATTTTGACAATGCTTGGCTGAGAAACGTCCATTGCAGAAGCTTTCTGTTTGCTTATGCAATCAGGCCCAAATTCATGAGCTCGAACTGCAGCTGGATGCAAAAGGTACGGACGTAAGAAGCAGCCTTCAGTTGTCGAGTATGTTCTTGCCTTCTGACAGTTTGTTTTCACTGGCCCTCTTGCTGATTGCAAAGAGACTGGAGTCTGTAAATGAGAAAACTTCTCGACAAACAAGAAATCTGTTAGACAGATTTCCCAGGTGCTTCCTCTGAGCATTTGTTGTGGCCTTGGGAGTATGGAGCACAATTTGGGATCAGGTATGCTGCGATGACTAGACTATATATACTGTACCCTATATACCACACCCCTACAATGACTATCCGCTTGACCTTGGGAATTTTCAACCCGTTGTCCAATGCCTAAATTCATCTACTGTAAATTCAGTGAGACACCTTCGATATCGATACAAATTCAAAAAACCACCTCCAATGTAGATCTCAAGAGGAGACAGACACCACTCATTCGTCTCGCTGACCCATTCCCAAATTATCGAATAGTTCCCTTTCGCTGCCGCTGATTCTGGATTGAAGTTTTAGCCTTTCTAATGCCATATGCAATTCATCCTGCAATTTGCACTTCACATTGGTGTAGGAGTCCACCCTGTGATCTACCACTATTTGGAACCTCTTCATTTTTAGATCATGTTCAATCTTGGTTGTTTTCACGATTGTTTACAAGTCGTGGGATCGACATTGGCTTCGTTGGATGTTGCGGTTGATTCGTCTAATCGCTTTGTTGGAATGTGACACCAATTGCCTGTTTGCCGAGGCGCACCCAACTTGCTCGCCTGCAGGCAGACGAGGCCCGAGCTTGGGACGGTCAGGTAGCTTCTTGTGCGTAGGTGTTGTGGGTAGGCAGCAATTGCACCTCCAAATGTCAGACTACCCAAAACATGCCCTGAAGGGCTGCTGTGGCTCTCATTACCAGCACACTTGCATTTCGCACCAAACTATTTTGGGTGCATTTTGCATTTCGGCCCCAGTCTTTGTGTTTAAGTATCTCTTCCCTGAGATGTCCATTTTGCGAGGAGAGATGGGTCCAAGAGAGAACACGCTACAATCTTAGAATCTTAGTCAGCAACGCCCTTTACAGAATTTTGCAAACAATTCAAAGACCAAAAGTTCTGAGGTCTCGAGGCGCAAATGAGATCACAGGCCACAGACATGCACTCCCGCACCGCAGCGTGAATCTTATTGCGCCATTGCCATTGACACAATTGATTTGAGCCCAGGAATTTTTCATTGTTGCACGTTATTTTTTGCAGGCGCGTCACATTGAAATTGATCCTTTGAGGACATGGAATCTTTGCAGCAAAAGCTTGAAAGGGAGGGTGAGGCAAGATCTTTATTGTTGTCTTTTGGCCTCACTCTGATTTTTGTGCTGAGAACAACTTAACTTAGAGCGGAAGGTGTCTCAGCGACAGCTGGAACAAGCTAAGCAGGTCCGGACTTCACCAGAAGCAGGGTGAAGAAGAGTTTGGTGTATCTTGGATTGTAGGCCACAAGATGCTAGACACTGCTAGCTGGTAGCCCCAAATCACCAAAAGATACATTCAACATATTGAACTTTGGGTGAGTTGCTGTTGGACCTCGCGAGGAGCAGGCATCTCTCAAGCGGCAGTTGGATGAGGACCTTCTAATTCTGATGCACTTAATTCTTGCACTTCTAGAACAATGCCCCTTGATGTTGGCGCTTTTAATTTGGCAATCAAGACTGAGTTGAAGACAGTTTTTCTTGGCATTCTCAGAGGCAAAGGCGACCTTGTCCGTCATGATCTCAAATCCCGCACGGACAGCAGAGCCCAGCATTTTGCACTAGTGGGCACTTGTTCCTTTTGATCTCACCGTCGGACATCTCAGAAGGTGTGGAAGTGTATTGTCAGGATTGTTTCGCACTTCCAAGGACTTTGATGGGAGACAGCAGCGGCTAAGCAAGGACACCGCATGCAGCCGCTGACTATGGGCTTCCTAGGCTCGTACCGGCGGGCTACCTCAAGTTTGTGCAAGGAGCGTGATGATGCTTTGCTGCAGGTGCGAGAGGTCTGGACACTTTCATGCACTGGATGGACTTGAGAAAAGACATATCTTTGGTTTCGAGGTGCAGGCCAAGCTCGAGCAGCAGCAAAATGAGGTGCAGAGTCAATCCGCTTCAAAGATCGTCATGCAGCATGCAGTACCAAGCCAAGTGTAGGAATACATCATCATGTTGGTACCTGGTACATGTTCTTCTGACCCACTGGCAATCTCCTCCGTGGAAGGGGAGTTGCTAATTGAGAAGTCTAAACTTTTGGGCATGGCGGCAAAGAAGGGTTTGCTTTGATGTAGGGGTTGTTACCACTTGCAGGCTTTTGCTTCAGCACGGTTTGCAAGATTCAGAGCAGCGACAGAAGGACCAGTCATAGTAATTGGAAATTCCTCGTAATTCAATGTAGGACATACAAACTTCAATTTACGGCAGTTTCTTTCTTTATCCCATTTGATTCTCACGATGGCAAATCCATCGGCTTGGCGGCCTGTGCCGAATGGCCGGGATCTCCGGAAATATGCGCGCCTATTCTTGAGGACGGATGTGGACTCAGATGGATTCATCAGCCATGCAGATGCCCAAGCGATTTTCAACAAATCCGCTTTGCCACCCGAAGTTCTTGGCAGCATCTTCAACCAGGCGAATGCTAGTCAAAGCTCACACATGAGCTTCCCGGAATTTGTGGCAGCTATGCACCTCATCAGGGAAGCTCGCCAGACTCAACAATCTCCTGTCATCTCGCCGGAGTTCATGGGCTTTCTCAGCAGTTTCTATGAATCACCAAACAACCTCGCAACTCAGGGTTCTTCCAAGTCTGCCCAGGCGATGAGACAAATGCAGTCTCAAGCCCCGCCTCAAGCAGCATGGCGCCAAACGCAAGCTTTGCTATTTGGAACCTCAATGATGTGCAGGTTTTCAAATGATGTAGTTTCAGGATGGAATGGGACTCAACTCTCAATGCACGACCAACTCACGCCAAGACTCAATGCACTACAACCGCCAAGCAACTCAATGCAAAGAAAAAGAAGCAATGCCGCCTCAATGATGCAACCTTTGCCGCGCTCGAACGAAAAGCCTTCTTTAGGCTAGATCCACGGAGTTGCCGTGCTTCGCATGGCACAAGGGCGCCCTAATGTTTGCAGACGAGATGATCCGAGGTGAACTCATTGAACTCAACCTGCACAAGACTGGATTGGTCACAATCAATTGCATCAACCCACGAAATTCTGACTTCACATCGGTCTTCGACTGGAGCTGTACGGAAGGGTGTCCGCTTCTCTCTGCGAGAGCTCTGGGTGAGCTGCGGGTCGATGCGCACCTGCCAAATGTGCTTCCGGAAGAAAACTCAAGAGACTCTTGACATTCCTTACGCGCTCAGAGAGGTAGGGCTTCTTTCAATTGATACGCCTGAAGCGCAGTGCGGGTGTTTGAAAACCCGAGGAGAGGCGACTCGTTGAGGATGATCGCCTTTCGAGTCTTTGCCGAGCAGTCCGGGCACTGCAGAGACCATCAGGTCCGAGACGCCAACAAGGTTTCTACTCTCCTCCACTTTGAAGCCATTCATCTGGGCTCGCAAGAGACGGGTCTTGTACTGCACGTCTTCTGCCTCCACCAAACTCTGAACTTCGGCATCATTGGTGCCAAGAGCCACACGTTTCAACTTCCACGACTTCCAAGCGACCAAGACCATGGAACAAGGGTGTCCTTCACGAATCTGGGGTTCATTCATGAAAGCCAGAAGTCCTCCTGTCGAACCACCGCGAGGACGGTTGCTGTGAGCTTGGTCTCCAAGACCGACGATGGTGACATCGGTCCATCGGCAAACACCTGGAAGCTTGAAAAACTTGAGAGCGGTGCTGCTCTTGCGAAGTTCTCGGATGACCTCGTGCAACACTCATTCGCAGCTCCACCGCTATAAGTCAAAAAAAGGTTGGTTCTAGCGTAAGCCAAGGGCTGTGTCTGCGCGGCTGTCCACTGGATGGCGCCCAAGGCACCGCGGCAGGCGGTGACCTGGCCGGGGCATCCAGCCCTGAGCATCCGGGATCGAAAAACGAAGCCAAGGATCAGTTTTTGTGGGGATCGGTTCTCGGAAGGTTGTGTACCTTAAAAAACCAATCCCCAAAACCAAGAAAAGCAAATCCCCAAAACCTATCCCCTAGCCTAAAAAAACAAATCACCAAAACCAAGAAAAACCAATCCCCAAAACCTATCCCCAAGCCTTAAAAAACCAATCCCCAAAACCAATCTCAAGCCTTTCTAAAAAACAGGAGGTATTGTTAACAAAACATATTGCTACTACTACTACTACTACTACTACTACTACTAGTGCTGCTACTACTACTACTACTTCTACTACTACCACTACCACTTACTAGTACTAGTACTAGTATTAGTACTACTACTACTACTACTACTAGTGCGAGTACTACTAGTTTTACTGCATCTACTACTACTACTGCTTCTACTACTACTACTTCTACTACTTCTACTACTACTACTACTATTTCTGCTACTGCTACTGCTAACGCTACTGCTACTGCTTCTGCTGCTACTACTACTACTACTACTACTACTACCGCGGCTGCTACTACTACTACTACTGCTGCTGCTGCTGCTACTACTACTAGTACTAGTACTACTATACTACGACTACTACTACTACTACCACTACTACTACTACTACTGCTACTACTACTACTACTACTACTAGTAGCTCCGACTTTGGTTTTTGCGACCATGGCTTCTGATCATTGGTGAGCTGATTGATGGTAAGGTTTTAGAACCTTTCTGCAGGGTTCAAGGTCTTGTAACCTTCAGAGACGCCTGACCACACTTGAAACATGTGGTGGGGGGGTCTCTTTTGTTTGCCACCCACCAGGTATGACCGTGTGTGAAGGGTTGAGCCACAAATTCTTGCAGCCACACCCCGGTCGACTGTGTGCAGCATGTCAATTGCAACCCTACGACTACTCCTACTACTGCTACTGCTGCTGCTACTAATACTACTACTATTACTACTAGCACTACTAGTACCACTAGTACTACTCCGACTTTGTTGTTTTTTTGTGATTCTTCCACAGTGCCATGCTAAAGGTTTGCTCTTCAGCACCCTCTGGTTCCAATGACAGCAATGTCTTGGTGAACTTCCTATGTTCTTTTCTATTTGTGTCCTTGGCACCTGTGGCTGCTAGGCTCTGTTGCAAGCCTTGATTGAATCTGTTTTTTCTGAAAGCTGCCAGATCTTAAGGCCCTTTTCTTTGCCTTTGGACACCTCCTGGTGAGGATGAGGTGGTTGGCAACTCGAAGCTTTGCTTCCTCCTCTCCATATTCCTCACAGACTTTTTTCCAACTCACCCATTCCACATCTTTGGTGGAGTTCCACCCCTGTGCAAACTTGGCTTTTTGTTCTACTTGGCTCTGTGTCAAGCCACCCTGCTTCAGAAATTGAAGCAGCTGTTTGTGTTTTTTTTGCGCTTCCAGGACCAACCATTTGTTTCCAGCATTCATTTTCTGCAGCAGATCTTCTCTGTTCCATCATGTGGAAGAATCCTTGCTTTTGGCTCTGTTGGTTTACTGATGGTTCCATTTTTCCACTTTTCAACATCTTCCAAAAATTTATTGTGGCTCAGCAACTGCGGGGCATTCAGATTTGTCATCTCAGGCTGCTGAGCTGTCTCATCTTCTATCTCCTTTGGGGTCTCATTACCTCCTGGGGTTGCCCCTTCTTCATTTGGCTCTTTTTCAAGCCTCTCTTCCTTTTTTTTCTTAGTGTCTTTGGGCTTGCTCTGTGTAACAGGCCTTTTCATAGCACCACTTGGTAAAATGAAGTCAGTAAAATTTTTGATTGAGCAAAAATAGCTACTGTGCAAACATGGTTTTAAGAATTATGATGTTTCACAAGATTGTTTGTGAATTCATACAATGGCTCACAAAATAGCTATTGTATTGATTTACAAAGTAGTTTTGTGAGTTTTTATGATCCACAAGATGGTAGGTAATTTTTCTGATCTGAAAACTATTTTGTGAAGTTTTGTGATTAACAAAATGATATTGAGATATTTCGTGCTTCGCAAGAGAGTTTGGAATTTTTGTGATTAACAATATGGTTTTGTGATTCGCAAGATGGTTTTGTCATTTTTGTGATTAACAAGATGGTTTTGTCATTTTTGACTCACAGTAGGGTTTGTGAATTCATAATTCACAAAGTGGTTTTGCATGGTTTTGCGAATTATGATTCACAAGATGGTTTTGTGAATTTTTGGGAATGGCAAGACGGTTTTGTGATTTCTTTGGTTCACAAGATCGTTTTGTGAACTTTGAGGATCACCTCTTCCACTTCCCTTCCCACAGTTCCCTTCATCCAACCCCCTTCCTCCAGTTCCCTTCCTCCAGTCCTCCTTCTCCAGTTACCTTTCTCCAGTTCCCTTCCTCCAGTTCCCTTCCTCCAGTTCCCACAGTCCCCTTCCCCCAGTTCCCTTCACCCAATCCCTTTCCTCCAGTTCCCTTCCTCCAGTTCTCTTCCCGCAGTTTGTTTGCGCATTTTTTTGATTGTAAGTGTGCTTAGGCCTTCTCCCCCAATCTCTCTTCCTCCTTCATTCTACTACTACTACTACTACTACTACTACACTGCTGCTACTGCTACTACTACTACCACTACTACGACGACTACTACTACTACGACTACTACTACTACTACTACTACTACGACACTTCTACTACTACTACTACTACTACTACTACTACTATGATGCTACTACTACTACTACTACCACTACTCCTACTACTACTGCTGCTACTACTACTACTGCTACTACGACTAGTACTACTACTACTACTACCACTACTACTATTCCTGCTGCTGCTGCTGCTATTTTGCTACTGCTACTGCTTCTGGTGCTGCTGCTGCTACTACTACCACTACCACTACCACTACCACTACGACTACCACTACCACTACCACTACCACTGCCACTACCACTACCACTACGACTACTACTACTACTACTACTACTACTACTACTACTGTAAGGGCTCCGCCCGGGTGCCGCCGACCCCTATTTTAATGAAAAGGAATTGGTAGACAGGCCATCCCTGCGCCCGCCACG